GTGCTGCTGCTGCCGCCGAAGCGCGGCAAAGTGGGCAAGCAGCTGGGCCGCAACCGCATCGTGTGCCGCGTGGTGGAGATCAAGCGGCCCTTTGGCGTGACCATGTACCGGCTGCGGAGCGGAGCTGGAGTGGTGGAGGGTATGCATCAGGCCAGCAGGCTATCTAAGGCGCCACCCAGCCTGGCCAGCGAGCTGACCTTCAGCGGCACGGCGCAGCGAGGAGTGCCTGTGGTGTCTCTCAATGTGGCGATGGCGGCGCAGCCCGGCGGCGGCAAGGCAGCCGTGCGCTGCGGCTGCCGCGGCGCCTGCACCCGGAACTGCAGCTGCAAGAAGAATGGTGCGCGGTGTGGGCGGCACTGTGGCTGTATAACCGGTAAGGGTGGCAATTGCAAGAACCATTGAAAAAGTGTGCCTTGTACGCTTTGCCGTCTCCGCTGGAAGGTGCTGCCGCCTGTGGCGGCTTCATATTTCCTGTTCATTTCTGTTGTTCGGTCTCTCTGTTCGTGTTGGTTGGCTTGTAAGAGTTGTATTTCTGACGCTAGAGAGGTGAGATGACAGCGGGAGCGTTGAAGCGTGCATGCCATCACGTGTGCAAGCAGCCCCGCTCCGCCCCGCTCAACCCTCAAACAGGGCTATATGGGGTCAGTTCACGTATGGGAGGGGAGCGCCGCGCGGGCTGCCAGGAGGGAGCGGGGGCGGGGGTTGCCCAATCGGGAGGGTGCCACATCAGGGGGCAACAGATGACGCGCTACAGTGTGATAGCGCCTCCAGGTCACAGCAGGCAGAGCACGTGTCATAGGACCGAGCTCGTTGGGCCCGCACCCAACACGCAAAGCCTTCCCAACGTCACTGTACTGGCAGGAGACTCTGATCCACAGCTGGCCCCCCGCATCCCGAGCAGCAATGGTCGTGAGGGTCGACGTCCATGGTGTGTGGGGCGGGTCGTTCTACGAAAGGCATAGCACCGGGGATGGTGTGGAGCTCATGGTTCCCTTCCAGACGGCGACGCTGCAGACCAAGCGAGACGCCCGCCGGCACCCCGCCAGTTGCCGCCGCACATGCAAGGAACGGTTTTGCTCTTGCCCCTGCAGGAACGAGCTCAGGAAGCTCGGCTTGGGCTGTGCTTACAGCGAAAGGTATTGGAAACTGGACGCAGTGGTGCTTGCTGTCGTGCCAGACATTGAGGAGGACCTGCGCCACCTGCTGGAGACGGGAGAGCTGCCGGCGGCAGACACGCCGGCGCAGCGCGAGAAGCGGCGGCGTGGGGAAGACGAGAGTGATGAGGCCAAGCTGGAGCCGGTGCAGTTCCACGGCGGGCTGGTGACGATGCTGCGGGAGCGGGATGGGTTTGTGACCCTGGAGGGCATGGCGCTGCGGCACATCGAGTGAGCAGATGGAATGCAACGCAGTGGGAGCGTCATTCCTTCTGCTCGCTGGTAGCAAGAATGAGGATTACAGCCCGGACCTGGCTTCGTGTCAACTGCTGAGCCCCTTCCCACCCCTGTGCTACCTGCTGCTGCCGCTAATGCCACTGCTGCAGGCCCATGCTGACGCGCATCCTGCGCTTCTCGCGCCATACCCCTGCTGGCGGAGCAGGGGCGCAGCCACGCTGGCGCAGCGCCTGGCCGCTGAGCGATGCAGAGGCGCAGTTTGTGGAAGAGGTGCTGGTGCACCGGGAGCAAAAGCTGCAGCGGGGGGAGCAGTACGACGATTTGGTGCCCATCCCTCCAGGGTTGGTGGATGTAGGAGGCAGGCTGTTGTTGCTATGCCGAACGTTGAGGGCATACTGAGCTTGCGGCAGCGCTGGGGCCCACATAGTGGGTTGCTGAGCCAGTCAGCGCGGCCTGTTGTCTCCAGATTCCTCCGTGCCAGCACGGTTCTGCCCAAGGGATGCGCGGGGGCAGATGCTGCGGGGGCCGTACAAGACCAAGCGTGACGGCAGCGGCATGCAACACAACTGGGGCCGCCAGTTCTTCAGCACCTTCCGCCGCGGTGACCTGTCTGGCTTTCTGTGGGCCGACGGCACTGAGTCGTTCAGGTGAAGCGTGGAGCAGTCCGTCTGGAAGAGCGGCGCACCTATTCTGGCCGCTCAAGCTCTGCTGGCTTCCCCACACACTCCATAGCTTGCTGCCAACCAGCTCGTGCTTGCCGTGCTGCAGCGATGGCGCTCAGCAGCGCTTCAACAACTGGATGGATGGGATGCTGAACCTGGAGCCTGAGGCTGGCGACGAAGAATTTGAGGCGGGCGACGATGCAGGGGCAGGGCAGGCAGCGTATGGCTTCGATGCTCCACAGGAGGCATATGATGATGACGAGGAGGAGGAGGGGGAGGAGCTGGAGCAGGACCCCGATGACAGCGATTACGTGGTGGAAGAGGATGGGCATGGGGAGGAGGATTGAGGCCAGTGTTGGTGGAGGGCATTGTGTCCCGGGTGCCTCATTACACTCACCCATGCGCTGCCTGGTTTGGCAGCGCACCGACTTCAGATTGACATGCCTGCCTTTTGATTGGCAACCTGTTTATGTTTTGTTCAACACTGGTTGTTGGCTCGATCAAGCAATGATATAAGTTACACAGCCTCGTTTTGCACACGGTGTGGCAGCTGGTTTAAGATGAAGTACAGGAGCCAAGTTGACACCCGCAACTTTATTTCGGGATGCCCCTCACCTGGGCCTTCCGCCTAGCGACGGTGAAGAGGGGGGCGGCGGATGATGCACTGGGACCTTGTCCGGGTAGAATGCACGCATGTCTCGTTGTTACTTCATTTTTTTGTTGCAATCATCCTTCAAGGCCCAGCAGGAATACATCATGCAAGTCTTGTGCTGCCGGTGCAGGATGGCGGCAGGCAGCACACTCGTGCATCTCATGGCTTGCCCCTGCGCACCGGGTCGCCTACTTTATCTCCATTTGCATCCATAAATGGATGCATCTCACTGCTACAATACCAATGCCGCAATTTTCAGAGTCTCCTGCTGCGCCTGAAGTGGCTGCGTGGCTCCCGCCACGTGCAGTGTCTGGCGGCGGCCCCAAACATGCCCCGCGCGCTCCCTGTCGCCATTTTCAGACTCTGTGATCACACACAACCCGCCCACACGCACGCTTATGGACGCCAGCCGCACCGGCAAGCCTCTTAAGCCCCTCTGTGATACCTGGCCGCTGGAAGGCTTGGGCGGCGTGACGGGCACTGGCAAGGGTGAGACACTCCGTTGCATTCCTTCACAGCGGCAGGGCCCAGCAGCAGCAGCGGGAGCAGCCGCCGCCGCTGTCCCCGCCTGCGCCACACACGATTGACGCTATGCCGCTCCACTTGCAGGCAACTCCTTCTATGCCGGGGGATATGGCTCCGCGGGAGGCATGGGAGCAATGCCGTTTGGCGTGTTTGATGGGCTGCCCGGCCTGCTGCGGCGCTCGGTGTCTGGCCGCATGTTCCTCGAGCGCTGCGACCTGCTGGATGCTGGTGAGGCTGCTGTTACTGCCTGCTGCGCCTGTCATGCCAGCAAAATCAACAATTGCATGCCAACAAGAGAACAAACGATGCCCGTTCGCCTGCCCTGCCTGCCTGCAGACCCCAGCGACGTTGCCAGTGAGAGCCCCTCGCCCCAGGGCTCTGGGAGCCTGACCTTTGAGGAGGAAGGGCTCGCCGCCAAGCAGGTGACAGTGGCGTGCCTGGAGGACTGAAGAGTCTCAGGCCAATCCTGATGCTCTTGCTGACAGACTGGGCTGGCAGCAGTGCCATCACGTACCCCCCTTCTTGTACACATTTCTTTGCACCTTGACATTGAGTACGACCACTAGTTTTGGGCACATCTAGCTACATACAATCAATGCTTTTCCCAGAGCTGCATGCTGGGAGTTGCACGTGCCTCCCCCCCCCACCCCCCTTCCGGTTTAACAATTGGGGTTTTGAACCGGTTCCATGG